TGAAAACAGACAAATCTCCCATACAGAATAATTCAAAATAATAAATGTAGATACTCCGCCATCAAGGAGATGAAGCATAACTTCCTACATGCCTACTGTGCATGGAGACTTCCTTCCAAAAAGTACCATCTAAAAGGAGGAGAGGAGTAACTTAAGGGTGGAAAAATCTAACAAACAATACCTTAGCCAGGTGATCAAAGTCAACATCAACATGAAGTCACACTGATAGCGTGTACCCTTGATGTGATATGATGAGAATGGTACTGTGGTCTACCAAAACCATACTACCCAAGTCTCATGATGAGACAAACATCAGACAAATTCCATTAGGGGGCCATACTATAATATACATGACTAGTCCTCTTCAAAACTGTCAAGGTCATCAAGAACAAAGTTGAGAAACTGTCACAGCCAAGAAAAGCCTAAGGAGATATGACTAAACCATATACATTTATGGTATCCTGGATAGGAACCTGGCCATTAGGTAAAAACTAAAGCTGTATAAATGAAGTATGGAATTTAGTTAATAATAATGTCTCAATATTGGTCCATCAATTGTGACAGAGGTACCATACTAATGTAAGATATTAATAATACAGGAAACTGGGTGTCAAATATTTAGGAATCCTCCTATACTGTCTTTACAACTTAAATCTAAAACTGTTTTAAAATAAAAAGTGTATTTGAAATTATAATTAAATTTATTAAGTCACACTTTTAAATAATTTATAGAATACTGCCAACCTTTGATAACTAGGAGAAATTGCTCTCATTCTCCAGTGTTAGAGTTCTACTTCTCCTGAACAGCAGTAAGGTTCTTATCTGTTTACTCAGTTAATCTTGATAATGTTCTAATCTTTGCTTTGGCCACTAGGAAGCTTGGAAACAAATCTATTAGTAATTATGAAAATCTTAGGAGCTTTTACAAAGTTCGTAGCTTCATCTTAGTTGTTCTAGTAATATTTTACTCCTTTGTGATTTTTCATACATATTTTATCCTTTTATCTTATCCTATTATCAGTCATCTCAAATCTCTTTAGAGGGAGGATTTATATATATGAATATGTTTTTGTCTGATAATACAAAATTACATTGTTCAAAGTTCTGACTTCCCATTTGTCATGTAACCAAAATTCTGAGTAGTGACCCACTCAAGGGTTAGAAGGGGGCAAATTACTAAAGCATCCAGCTTCAGTTTCTGAACTGCAAAATGGTGATAACACCACCTGCTTTAACCAATGGTCATGAGGACTAATGGGGTTCATATTTGCTAATATGCCTAGCACAGATAGAGAGAAGGCGCCTGAAAATGATAACAACAGCATTATTAACAAAAATAGCAATCATTATTTTCATTCATATAATGAAAAGAATGGTGCTGAATTACAAATTAATTATAGGCCAGGTGGTGACTTTTCTCGGTGACCCAGATAAACAAGGGTAGCTACCATATTTAGGGGAATGAGAACAATAACTAAAGGTGGGTGGACAAAAAGGGGAGGACAAAGCCAAATAGGGGAAGAGGAGAAGGAGGACTTCTTACACAATGTCACTGCCAACAACAAGTCTGAAATCTTTAAGACAAGGTGAAATCTGATCACTTTTTAGCCTTGACTCCACTAGAATAATAAAAAGCAAAAAAAAGAAAGAAAGAAAAAACACCCTCTAGTTTTTCTGGCACTCATTTCTCCAAAGCCTCCCAAAACAATCATAGTAAGAGCCAAAAAAAGACCAAATCTGAACCTCTCCTTGGCCCAAACGATGCCAAGTTCATGTTTCACTGCCCAAAGTTTTTTGGTATAGGCACATTTAAACTCAGACCCTCATCACCATTATTCTAGAAAAGGGGACAGACAATGGGGATTTTTTCATTAAAAGAACGATGCACTGTTGCAATACTGTGTGCACAGTACCTCTAACTCCCTCAATGGCCCTAAGAAGACACATCCAGATAAGGACCTGAAGCTCAGTGGGGGAAATAGTTCACTCCAGGTTCTTGCAGACAGTACACGACGGAGACACTGAACCCAGGTCAGTCTGACTATAAGGATTTCCCTCTTTCCACTATGCCAGAAACTTAATGCAAAGACTCCCTGCCAAAATCGATAGAGAAAGGGAACTAAATAAAATAGCCAATTCCTTCAAAAAATTTCTCATCAGTGTGTTGGAAGTTCTTCTGTTACCTCAGTCAGCCCACACAACAACGCCCCAGATTGGGTGCTGTCATTGTCCCAATTCTATACTCGAGAAAGCTCAGAGGGCTCACTTGTTTTGTCCTAATTGTGCAGGGTGAAATAGAGAAGGGAGAAGGACTTGAGAGACTGAGGAACCAACAGGAGAGAAAGACAGGTATAAGAGCCAGGGATGCCAGGGAGAGGGCAACCACCTCACAAGAGAAACTCTGCCTGGTGCCCAAGGTCCACAGGCTCTGCTCGAGGAGAGAAAAGCTGGAGAGAAGGCCTCTGAAGGTGCTCATGAGCCCGGGGCAACGGGCAGGGGAAGGGGGGATTGCAGATTTGTACTAATGAAAATAGAATGAGTCATGAGTGTCACAGCCAATAAGAAAAAAAAAAAAAAAATGACAGGGGAGACTGGAGAGCCAATAAATCATTTCTGAACATTAAACTTTCTGCTTCCTGAGAAAGGTTTCAGATTGTTGTGGTGGCAATGGAAGCCCCCAAGCACATTCTGATGGGCCAAAAAAGAAGCTCCTGTTCTCAAATTTACTGGGCTCATTAAGTTTTAAAATACTTCCAATCCCTCACAGGTGTGAAGTACTTTAGCGTCATATCAATTTCCTGTATATTCTGTTAAGCAGTGTTGCCCAAAATTACCTGATCATATATAACCACCTGGGGTACTTGTTTAACCTATAAATTCCCAGGTATCCCATGGAGATTCTGATTCAGTAGGCTAAAAACTGGAGGCCCTGGGGATCTTGTGCTTTGAATAAATGAGTCAGCTGATTCCTATCATCAGGCTAGTTTGGAAAAACTGCTTTAATAGGACTCTCCCAACAAGCTTTCAAGGTAGGTATCATGACCCCCATTTTAAAAATAGGTTCAAAGAAGGAAAGGACATGCCCAAGGTCACACATCTCACGTCTGGCAGAATGGAGAATTACAAATCACACTGTGACTCCACAGTAGGTATGCATGCCACCACACTGAAATCTGAGCCAGAGCTAGCTTCAAAAGTCCCTTCCTTGCTGTCTTAATATGGCATCAGACACCAGGAAATGAGGGTGTAGACTATCCAGTGCCATCAGGAAGAACCAGGGAAGAAGTCAACTCCCTGGGTTGAATAACACTGAAGGAAAAAGAGAAGGAAAGCAAGATCCTCCTCTATCTGCAGTTCTATTTTTTTTTTTTTTTAAAGGATTTATTTACTTGAGAGAGAGCGCACAGAGGGAGAAGGAGAAGCAGACTCCCTGTGAGGAGGGAGCCCGACATGGGGCTCGATCCCAGGACCCTGGGATCATGACCTGAGCCCAAGGCAGACACTTAACCGACTGAGCCACCCAGGCGCCCTGCAGTTCTATTTTTGAGCCCTTAAATTTTGTGGGCCAATGGAGTATTACCAACACCCACACTATTAGCACTGCTTTGACTAATAGGTCCCTTTGGCTAAAATGATGGAAATAGTTCTTTCACTATTGCACGAAGGTAGAAAGAAAGGTCCTTCTAGAAATAACTTCAGACAATTAATGTCACATCAAAAGAAGAATGCTCTAGATGATATCTTCACCCACACACTGACATCCCCACTGGTGATAGCAGTACAACAGTGACTAATTGTACCTTCTGGAGTCAAGTTCAGACCACTCCCCCAGAGCCTGCTCCCCCAGACAGGGGTAAGTACCTGAGGTGTGCTGAGGCCATTTTTATACACATGTGGATCCCCACTCCCTGAGACCTGTGGCTAATGATCATTTCCCTGGCAGTAGGGGAGCATGATTCACATGAAGAATGGCGTGCTTGTGAAACACACCCTCTACTATCTCCTTTCTGGAAGCCCCTCACACTGAACTCTTATCAACTGTTACCAAGAAAAGGTCCAAATCATACAAAATGAGATAGACAGGAAGAGCACAGGGAAAATGGTACTCCTATTCCAAGCTTCCCTCGACTTTAAATAAAAAGGAAAATGGGGAGGATTTAGCTCTCCTTGAAGGAGCTGACTTTAAGATCAACACCTGCCTCCCTAAATATATGTATTTATACAGGTTTATCTGTCCTCTGGGAAATGATCGTCTTCCTCACAGATTTGTTCAATACAGATTATCGAAATCATTTTCAAGATGAGAAAACCCCTCCCCCTGTCCTGCTGCCTCTCTTGTGTATCCCCTGAAACCTGAGGTCAGGATGACAACAGACTTGCAGATGTTGAGATTTCATGTTCAACCTGTCTCTATTACACACACAAACCCACTCTGTTAATTATAGCAGCTGCTACTTCACACCAAGTATTTTTTAAATTGCCTCTGCCATGTAGCACATACTTATTTATAACATTCATAATTTATTGAAAAATATTGTGACTTCAACATACAGACCTCTACACTCTGCAATGATTCAGGTACATTAATATAAAAAGCAACCCACTCATCCAGTTAAAATCAGCTTCCTCGAAAAACATATCTCTTGCCTTCAATTTAGGGGCCAAAAAATATATATATTTTTTCTTTTATTCATCATGTAAAAAGTGCCTTTGGAAAAACAGTCACATTTCATGATGGACTGTTCATGTCTCCTTCAAATGTGTCCAATTTTAATGAATGGTCTTCACCTTGGATACCAACATTCCAGGCCTCATAGGAACAATGGTGTTTGGGCATGTGCAGTGGAGGTGGAAGATGGATTCAAGATGTTTCAAGTATGCAAAATCGCATGCAGATGTACAAACAGTATATCCAGTCAAAGCGAGTTAAGAAAGCAATATATATACAGACACCCGAGAATGGATGAGCACAAATAAAATCCAACTTGTAATTAACATACCGTGCTGAGACACCTGTTGCCTTCCACGATAAGAAGTCTGGGAGATCAAAGAAATGTCCCGCCTTATCCCAGCAAGTCTCTCTCAAGTTCTGCCAAATTAAATATATATTAGAATCAATTACGGGCTTTTTTCCCCCTACCCTTCCCCTCTTTCAATGTTTCAAATTTTTCCAAACAAAAGCATAGCCAACAGTGTCCCATAAAACATCTGTTCAGGGGCTGGGGGCCAGGGGGCCGGGGGGCCAGGGGGCCGGGGAGGGGCGGGGATGCTATGTAAGCAGTACCTATATAGGAAAGAAAAATTGGCAATTATTGATCCTTCTAAAAATGATCATCATCTCCCTTTTATTCCCTTGGCCAGCCTGGAGGGGAAGAAGCATACTCTGTGAGGATGTGCAATCCATCTTCCCAGTGAGGGGTCACAGGATACACTTCAAGACACACAGCAAGATTTCAAAGCTGAACAGTTATAAGCTGGGAAGAAAACTGCACTAAGAAACTACCCCATGAAATGGAATGTGTCCCGCCATGTAGAATTCTCCCCACATCAATGGGTTCCAAAGGCAGGAGAACAGTTGGTCCCTGCCTTCAAAGAACTTCCAGTCTGAGCCAAAGAGAATGGCACATACCCAAGCTATTCTTTTTTTTTTTTAAAGATTTTATTTATTTTTTTGACAGAGAGAGACACAGCGAGAGAGGGAACACAAGCTGGGGGAGTGGGAGAGGGAGAAGCAGGCTTCCCGCAAAGCAGGGAGCCCGATGTGGGCCTCGATCCCAGGACCCTGGGACCATGACCTGAGCCGAAGACAGACACTTAACGACTGAGCCACCCAGGCGCCCCCCACGTTATTCTTATAAAATAACTAAACATTTGTTTCTTCCAGTCTCTTCCACACTGCCAAATGTGGTCAGATTTTTTTTCTTGCCACTGGGCTTTTTCTTTCCTCTGCCATCTCTGTCTAGAACATGGATTCCTCACCCACCACCCTGTTGCTTCCCAGGATCCACTCACCTGCCCACTTTGGTCAACCCTATCCACCCTTCCTTGGAGAAGCCTTCTAGGATCTCCTACTCAGGGTAGGTCTGAGTCTCATACGACCCACACTACCCCACAATTATTTGTGTACTCTCTTTCTTTACTGTAAGAATGTAAGCTCTACAATGTCAAGGACCCTGTCAATCTTATGCACTATGATATACCCCACAACTCTCTCCTCTCCTTCCCTCCAAAGGACTGGACTGTTAGCCGTGAGGTAGAAGCTACCTGACTCCAGTCGCCTTACAACTTAACTGGACCAGGGATGGACATATGACCTAACTGAGCCAATCAGGTTCCTTCTCCAAGGAAGTTAGACTCAGGATCCAAATGGAGTCATTTAACTTCTGCCTATGAATGAGGGGAGATAAACTTGGAAACTATAAAGTGGACATTTTCTGCCAAGTACCTAGAGAAGCAGAACTTTGCAAAGAAAAGAGTAAAGCAGACAGAAGCAGTAGCAAAAAAGGTCTCCTACCATCCAGGCAACTCTCCAAGTCCTGGTTTCAATTATTCCCTTCCCAAGAGGCTACAATAAAAGGAATGTATCATAAGCACAGAGTATCTTGGGGAACCTTAGGGCCACAGTGAAGAAGTTCCACAAGAGATATATTCCTGTGTCCATGAGAGGGTGAAACACAGCAGACACTCAATAAATATTTGTTGGACAACTAGACAAACTGCTCACTTTCACCTTCTAATCTCTTTCATGTGAAGAATGCTTGAGTTTAGAAATGGATTCCACCTGTGTTATCTCCTTCGAATGAGGGAAAGTTCTGAGTATTATTACATCTACTTTACAGACATATGACTGGCCTTTATCTACATTTGCCCTCAAATTCTCTTTCTTCCTACTTCCTCCTTCCCTATCACTACTGTATGAACTATCTATGTGCATGACAGAGAAACAGTATAATCCCAGGTCCAGGGTCCCATTAAAACAACAGTAATATCAAAAGGGTTCAGAAGTAAATGACAGTGTGAAGCCCATTTTCCATTATTGTTGTTGTTGTTTATTTGTTTTAAACTCCTAAGCACTGGGGTTGAGAGCTTACATCTAGAAAGGGCTAAGCTTCTCTTTGAATGCCCATACATGTTCACGGCAAACAAGGCAAAACTCACAGCTGACTAAATGTGCCTAACACAGCTATGAACCAGTTGTATCTTCAGACCCTAATAGGGTCACAATCAGGAAAATGGTAGCCTTTGAAGCTGTGTGAGTCAACCTACTAGTCTGTCTTCGGGGCAACCCCCGAAATCTCTCCCTGTGCTCTGTGGTTTCGGCAATCAGTTCCTAGGGAGAAAGAGAAAAGGCAGCCTCCTCCCACGGGCTCCAGAAGTCCAAGGCCAAGTCACCAGAAATGAACCGCCAAACCACAGTAGCAACAACCAGCACTTCAAGCCAAAGCTGAACAATGTTCCTAAACTCCGAAAACAACTGCTTCTGTTAGATCTTGTATATGGTCATTAAAGATTTCACATAATGAGAGCTTTCAGCCTGGAGCCACGCAGACAGCCACTGTGGACAATGGGACCCGAGCAAATGTCTCCAAGAGAACTTCAAGCTTCTTGCCAAAAAGAGACACACTGCAGTAGGAGGCGTGAGGCAGCCAGGGAACATCATTTCTTCTTGAGACCGGGCCAGCTTCATCTACCAAAGCCACAGACCCCAGTCCAACCTCTGTCTATAAGATGAGAAACCAGAAGCATCTAATTAGAAGTATGATGTATCCTTAAGAACACACATGGTCTTGGAGGAAGAGAGAGCGATATGGTCCCTGCTTTCTCTACAAAAGCAGTCTGGAGATTAGCCAGCAAAGAGAAGGGGGCAGAGTTTACAGGGATGAGAGGGAATGCCTCCTAAAGCCTGATCTCTTACTTTGAGATGCTGACAGACTATCTGTAAGGATCCCATGCTGTTCTTATGTTGGGCTACATGATTCACAAGTGCTTTGTCATCGAATGCCAGATGGGCCAAGAGCACGTAGCCCCATGGATGGATTTTTAATCCAGTTCTGTGGGAAAATCTCTCCTGCCCTCCCACTCCCCAGCCAGTACACAGTCCCAGCTGAGGGCCTCAATCTTACTGAATTAATTCTATTTTTTGAACCATTGGGCCTGTGACTGTCCTCCTGTATTCCTCCACAGCTCACGAGAGAGCCCCCACACGCCTGATCACATGTGACTCTCAGGGCGGTTCAGGGGTGTGTAGGTGAATATACAGCAGTCTCACATTAAGGACGTAGAAACAATTTCAGACAGGGCTTAGGCCAAAGTCACAGAGGGCCTGGCCTTCTACCTCTAAAGTGAGTGTTCCTTTCTCCCACTATACCACAGTCACAATCCTGAGGCTCCCAGACCCGTCAGAAATGTGGGGTTTGGCCTTTGAGGAACATCATGATGGAAGCTATTGCCATCCTTTACAGAAGAAAACAAGCAAAAAGCCCTTCCAAATACATTTCTGTACACAATTTAAAAAATTTCAGAGATTTCACTTCCAATCCTGAGCAGCTCATTTAACTTCTGCGGACCTAATAACACCTTCCATGCACGGATGGTGTACGGGGCAGAGAAAGCACAGAGCAGGCCCTCAACACACACCAACTTTAGCTGTATCTCATCACATGACAGCTGAAGCCAGTTCACACTAGAAGTTCTCTGTGCAGAATGAGTTAAGCCTATCTTCCAGTTACCAAGCAACTAACAAAAACTAGTCTTTTCAAGAAAAAAAAGGAATCGGCCGTGATTTGGGGTGTATGACTTGGCACTAAAGGCTTCTGCATTCCAATAACAATCCTTTGAGCTAAGCAATCCCCCAGGCTTGAAAGCAACCAGAGAACAACTTCTTACTTTTTTTTTTTTAATCTATTACTTCATAAAACCACAGCATTTCTTGGGAGGAGGCTACAACTCAAAGTGCACACAGCTGCGGGTCTCAGCAGAGGGTGGAGATAGAGCAATATAGCCAAGATTCAGAGCCAGGCAGCAGCCGCCCTGCCAGCCTCGGAGCAGAGAGATGGAACTTTCTCCCTTGCCCTCTCTCTGTGTCCAGGGAGGAAGTGAGGTATCTCCCGGCTTCTTGATGCTGAAGGAACTAATGGGGAACAGGAAGCAAGTCCTGCAGGGTGTGTCGGAAGACACCAGGGTCTAGGAGCAGCATGAGAAGGTAGGGATGAGCAGCTAAAACAGGATCATCCAAGGATTTTATTATGAATTGCAAAGACGTGCTGTCTGGGCTATCTGCTGTGTGCAGTGAACAAAAGGGAGGGAACAGAGTTCCCTAATTGCTCACCCACTGAATGATCCTGCCTGAACAGCCCAAGTACAATGTTGTTTTCCAGCATAACTTCCAAAGAAAAAGCAAAAACCTTATCCTCACTCTGTATCGTAGACTCCAAATTAGGGCACGAGCTGATAGGCCAGAGAAGAAAGATGTTTCAGGAGGAAACGTAATCCTCAGTGTCATTCTTAAAAGAAAAATGATGCTGAAAACATAGCGTGGGTCATAATCTGCAGCCAGAAACCTCCCAGAATGAATGAAACAAATGTGTGTTTCAAACTCCCATCCACACAGAAGAGACCAAACACCAGACCTATCTCCGGTCAGACAGGCAGATAACGCTGAGAGGTTTGTGCTACTAGAGGTATCTAAAAACTGAAAACTTACCATTACATTCCTGGCCTAGAGTCACTGAACTCCTTGGCATAGCCCTCAGGACACTCAACACCCTGGCCATTATAATGACGAATCCTTCCGGGCTCATCTCCTCGTGCGCTGCACCCGGCACTCACCTCATTTCCTTCACTTGCCCAAATGCATTATGCTCCTTCCACATTTCCACGCCTGTGTGGAGGCTCCTGCCTCTACTTGGATTGCCTTCCCCACCTTCTCCCATAACCAAGCTTCTACCTTTGATTCAAATCCAACTCAAATGCCATCCTTTCATTGAATCCCTCCAGGGCCCCGCTGTATCCCAATTATATAAACATGTGCTTAAATCTGCCTCAAAATGACAGATTCCCAGAGGGCAAAAACCAGCTCACACATGGGGG